GTCTCCATTATTGCAAAAGGTCTGGAAGGAGGGAAAGGTGCCTACTGACTGAAGGAAAGGTTACCTCGTGAAACTACCAAAGAAGGGCGACTTAGGACTCTGCAAGAACTGGCGAGGAATCATGCTCCTGTCGACGCCAAGTAAAATCCTGAGTCGCATCATCCTGGAGAGATTAAAGGACGCACTGGAGACAGAACTCCGACCAGAACAAGCTGGATTCAGGAAAGTCAAATTATGTTCTGACCAAATTGCAACTCTACGCATCATCATCGAACTAAGCATGGAATGGCGATCAAACCTCTACCTCAACTTTATAGACTTTGAGAAGGCCTTCGACAGCGTTGATCGTGAAGTAATTTGGAAATTACTCGAGTACTATGGCGTACCCCAAATATTCATCAACCTTATTCAACAGCTGTACGACAACGGTAAATGTCAGGTCATCCAAAAGGGAAAACTCAGCGAGGCGTTTGGAGTAAACACACAAGAGTCAGACAAGAGTACTTATTATCACCAATGATATTCCTAATTGTGATGGACTGACTGGATTATGCGTCAGACAGTTGGAAACGAGAAGACAGGGATATCCAGGACCGACGTGAAGAACCTAGAAGACCTGGATTTCGCGCGTGTATGATTTATGTTTGATGTCACACAAAATCGAAGACTTGCAAGCGAAAACCGACAAACTGGCAGAAGAAGCAGCCGGCGAAGACAGGACTCCAGGTGAACATAGACAAGACGGAGGTTATGAAAATAACCAACCAACAACAACAACAACATCCAGCGCCAATCACCATCAACGGGAGGGATTTGAAAGAGGTCACTTCATTCAATCACTTATCTAGGGAGCATTGTCTTAACTAAAAAGGAGCGGACGAGGATGTCAAATAGAGCGAGGATCGGGAAGGAGAGAAACACATTCATCAGCCTGAAATCAATCTGGAAATCTTCATCACTCAGCATCACCAACAAAATTCGGATTTTCAACACAAACGTAAAGTCAGTTCTTCTATACGGATCAGAAACTTGGCGGGCGGGTCACAAAGAGTATTTCCAAAAGGCTGCAGACCTTTATTAACAACTGTCTTCGCTCTATACTGAAGATCAGATGACCGGAAAGAATCACCAACGAGGAATTATAGAAACAAACAAAGCAATAACCAATCGCCCAACAAATATGCAGGAGAAAGTGGAGATGGATCGGACACTCGCTGAGGAGACCGCTGGGTGACATCGCGCGTCAAGCCCTAGAGTGGAACCCGAAAGGGAAGCAGAGTTTGGGACGTCAGTACAAGGGTGACATGGAGGAGATCGTGTGAAGAGGAGTTGAAAGAATATGGACTAACATGGATGCAGGCGAAAAGTACAGCAGAAGACAGAAGCAAGTGGAGACGTGCAGTTGAAGCCCTATGTTCCACTAGGAACCCAAGGGAGCAATAATAATAATAATGGAGCATCCACTTTACGATCAGCTTTCACCTTGCATCCTCTCAGGTAGAACAAGAAGTAACTTCAGAAAACTGTATGCTCGCACGACTAAGTATTAAAATTCTATGATACCATACTTGGCGCGTATTTTATGTGATGAAAATAGTGTCAGACAAGAATTAACTAACCTTTTTTCGTCTAGTAAATAAACAATTTCCCCCATCCATCCTTATATACCTTTTAGTTTTACTTTTATCATTTCTATTATATTCATGGTCCTGTTATTTGCTTGTTTTACTCTCATAATTGCAAGCACCAGCTTACCTCTGTGACTGCTGTTATCTTTGTTTTTACCCTCACCATATCATGTAAAGAGAACATTATATTAAATATTTTAAAAATAATGTAAGGATATGGATACCACATTGCCAATACTGTGTGAAAAAAGCCCACGGCAATTTTCACTTGCATTATTATTATTACCTCAGCTGTTATCATCATTATTTTTTTCATTTTATATGCTGCCTGTTTTTCACAAAACCCCTATTGTTGTCAGTGTAGTTGAAGAGTGAACGATCAATTCGTGGTTGTTTGCTCAAACCCAACTTCCATAATTTTCGCGGAGGCATCAATACACCAGTCATCGTCTCATCGATTGCTGTTGAGAAAGAAGAGCAGAAATCCGTCAGAAGTAATATCGTGATTTATTATTCTAATATTTGTTCATAGACCTTAGTTGTAACATTGGTTATATGTTGGTGTTAGAATAAAGAATTCTCGAGTCACCAAACTGGGTTCTGGTTTTTTCGTCCGTTCGTACTAAGCGTTTCTGAGAAGCTTCGAGGAACAGCGTGAGGCCCAGTGTAGCAAGAGCTGGGCATTAACGGTTTTTGAGACGTGATTGGCAATTGTAAATGTGAGAAATTTTCTGTGATTAATTTTGTTTTCAATTTGAGGAAATTAGACACAATATTGTGATTATGGCCGAAAGTTCCATTCTGTATCACAAGTACTGTTTTCTGAATAAAGTAAATCATTATTATTACCAATATTATAATTATGCGTTGGACTTTTAAAACGCCAGATCTAAGGCCAAACCCAGTGTTTTATATCATATAAACCACATATGGCTACGAAAGTTTCAGTCTTTGTGTTTCGTTTTCAGAGCGCCTATCGTTTACGTTACATTTACTGCTACTAATGTTGAGTTTCGCAACCCAGTGCATTTAATAATGTCAATGATTTAATAAACAGCATAATCGCATCAGATACGGCTGCATTTGCACAAGCAGCATGTGAATCACGAAAGTGCTGTAAAATTATATAAATTAGGCAACCAGGGTGACTGGCTTAAATCAGTGGGTTACTGGAATTCCCATCCATCGAAATGCTTAAATTCTTCTGCAGTTCTTATTTTTTAAAATGTGTAATTGTATCAGATGACCAATGTTTGATCTCGCTTGCATATTTAATTAGTTTCCCACTATACGCTAAGCAGTTCTTGAAGGAATTAAGGAAAAACTGCACAGAACTGGTTACCTCTTCGTATACAACAACACTTCGATAGATGATATACTTCCGACCATTGTTTTACACAATTATTCTGTATGGAGTGGAAATATTTTGGAACTAAATACTAACTAAATATTATACGTTCACATATTGTCTAAAATGAAGCTTCTCTAATAATGCAAAGAATATGAACTGTGGAGTTCTGTGGAAAACCTGATATTAATTTATATAACAAATAAATGGAATTTTTTCTTTGCCATTAATTTATGTGATTGGGTTCTGTTTATTAAAGACACCCAAAGAACCGTTCCGGTAATAATAGCTTGAATATCTTTGATGTATTCGGAGTGGTATTAAGATCCGCCCTTGTGCTGAGGCTTTTTAATCCGCCTGGAATCACTGCATTTGATGCAGATTTCTAGAAACCACAGTCGGTGGAGCGATCGCAGGAGCTGCCAGCTTCTCCAAATGCCTTTAATGGAGGTCATCAGATATATTCATCGATATCTATGGTATATACGATGTTATCCACTGGCATGATCAATGCTGCCGCCGTGGTTTATGAACAACCCTGTGTCAAGTCTGTGGAGGTGTCAGCCATTGCCTCGTTTTCTTCCTGATCAAATTTGGATTGCGTCAATATCAGCAGCTGAATTCGTCGCCCCGCTGGTTATTTTAGTTTTGAGGCTGATTTATGAAAATAATTTCTTCGGCTGTGTTAGATCTAAACGGGGGTTGGTATTTGGTTGATGAATTCTCGCGGTGGCTATGGTGTACATCCATCTGGCCCTGTAGTCGCGGGTGTAATAAAAAAATTACAAGTGAATAGTTCGCGATTCTCCTGGCTAATCAGTTCAGGGCAGCGTTTTACGTCCTTTAGAGTACAATGTAGAATGAAACGTTTGGTTACGCAAGTGCAAGGTCACCCAAATCTTGCATGCAGACTTCACAGATCACGGAAACGTGTTCCAGTCCTGTGGTGAGCCCGCTGAACAGGTGTTTGTGTCGACTGTCCACAAAATCGGCCGGATAGAGGTTTCGGCAGGGGATATTGCACCCGCCGCAAAATTTTACGTGCGGAAAATGTGGCCACTTCTCTCTATATGTGGGAGTTGTTAGATTACGCCCACATCACCGCCGTGGTGAGAGCAGGGTTCAAAGCTGAGGTGAAGTGCTGAGAATCATGTGGCGTAGGTGTTTCACTTTCTGGTCCAGAGCCAATGAAACAGGAGATCACTTCAACTTATGATAAGAGGGGCTGTGTTAGGGTAGTGTTGCTAGGCCGATGGGGTGTAGAAACCGCCAACTGTTAGATGATTCATAGACGACTTGCAGTATACATTGCAATGTCTCAAAGGTTGAATTCACCATGACCAGCTTCCAATATTGGCCGTGATTCCGTGATGGTGATAACATACAGGTTTCCAGAGTCAGTCGTGATACACATTTCGTCCCGTTTATTGAGAAGACTGTGGTGACGTAAACTATTGTTAATGTTCGGCATCTCTGCGTTCAACCTGCAGAAGTCTGAGGATCAGCACTATTTTAACATTTACTGCTCGAAAACTCTGAATAACAACGCTTTTCTCTGACTGTGATGCTGTCCACCTGACTGTAATACAACAGACTGTCATTTGGTGTGGTCTATTAAATATCGTTCTGCACTTCAGTAGATGCGCGATTCTTTGACAGCTTAGACATTAACCAGAATTGCACCACTCTCAGTTCTGAGTTTCATATAACATAAATATCAAGTTTGCTGCGGTTGACCATTTGCTAAAGGACCCTGTCATGCTTCCATCTTTCAAAGAGGAAACGTCTTCTGCAGTTGTTATGTGTCACTTTGCGGCAGGATTGACAATATCTTACTCACTGAGGCCCATTCCTCCTAATCGATTTGTTAGTGACTGCCGCAGATAACTGTAAATTTGCAGTGTTGATGACATAGAAACCTCAAATCAGTTCGGCTCGAAATTACCTGACGTTGCTTTTGCAATTGTACATTTCAGGTGTTTTTCAGGACCAAATTATCACGATAGCATATGTGGCGGGACTTTGCATGCAAATGCAAATGAGTCCGCTGAATGCCGTGATATGTGGGCGGAATGAGTTGACTGCATCTGTGATCAGAATCCTTCGAAGAAACAAATATGTGAATATAGTTGGGTATTGGTGTGATTCTGTCAAGTCCCAACTTCATGCAGATGTGGCTGGTATCAAGGTGATTGGTGGCACTTTCGAGGACTTGCTGTCCAATAAGGAAATACATTTCCTGTTTCTCTGTGATACTCCTCTCAATCAACAGAGTTTTGTTTCGCGACTTTGCGATCAGATTAAATGTTTCCAGAATTCAAATGTCAAGCAAGTGTCAGATCTGCCTTATGTGATAGTTTTTCCTCCTTTTTCACCAAATTATGATTTCGAGTTGCTTAAATTATTCCGAAATAAAGTTGGTGTTGCAATGCCCTTCAGAAGACTTCCCGTGTCGGCTTTATTATCTCGCCATATTAATCGAAACAAACAGCTGAAGTTTTCAGAAACGTACGAGTCTGTCCAACTACCAGCACACTGGGATTTGGGGAACCTGGAAAAAATACACATACGACTGTCAACAATAAACCTTATTGAAAACTGTGAGTACTCGTGGCTATGTGAATCAGGAAATATGGGTGGGGGATTGTTGAACATCTTTTGTAGTAGTCTTATTGACCTTGTGTATTCACTCACTGGTTTACAGTTGACTTCAGTTACATGCGTCTGTCGAACGTACGGAGGGAGTCTGAGTGGTCGGGAACGGTCTTTGCATCGGATTTCATCAGACGACTATGTCAGTGTGTTGGGTGAACTTGATGTGGCTTCATTGACAGAATCTCGTAAACCGATAGTTGTCATTGTCATTTCATCAGACATTCCATTCTCAGAAGATGTTACATGTAAACGTTCGGAAGTGTATTCTTGTGATAATCACCGTTTCAAATTGCAAGTGGAAATATGTGGATCAGCTGGTTGTTTTGTGGCGGATGAAAGCGAAAGGCAAATATCTTGGACATCCCGAAAATCTTGTTCACCAAAGGCTAAATATGTGTCTGATGAGTATTCCACTGTACGACCAAAGCACGATTGTAATGGTTTCTCACATGAACGACCAGTACAACGAGTCAACGGTACAGAATTGACTAATGGGAGAGACCATTTTGAATCGTACTCTACTGGTGTGGTGGAGACACAAAGCAATCACTTCCCTAGAACTCGGGCTATCAGCAAGCCACCCTTCCATATTGAAAAAGTAAATGAAATAACGGAAGTTGCACGTCTACCTTTGAATGTAAGTCGATGTTATTATTATTATTGTCAATGTGAATGTAGTGACCTGTATTCATTTTGGATATATTCAGTTATGAACAAACCCAAAGCGTCTATATTATGTTTTATGACCCATGTTTTAACTGTGAAACCTAAGATATTGTGGCAGCAAGGGAGTAAATAAAATTTGGTAAGGATTAATTTGAGCGAGTCCAGAACAAAAGCAAATAATGGTGTTAAATTATGTTATAAAAAGTATGTTTAGTAGGAGTACCAATACAGTTGTGATTGATATCAGTGTCTGGGGAATTATGCTAGTCATCTTAGTCCAGAAAGTCAGAGGTTATTATACTTATATTTTTTTGGCCACAGGTCTTCTTGTTTTCACGGATGAATCCCAAAGTCATTAGTAAACGACGACTGGTTGCCTGAATACATAATACTCAGATTCAGTTTATGAGAGGTGAGTTAGTTACCAGCCTAAATGTAACGAAAGGTCTTTTTTCACGATTTTATGCATAAGCCTATCTTAGGATGTCTCATAAGACACATAAACTAAGAAGTCATTTCGATGACTGCATGTCATCACGTGTGCCAGCCACCTCAGTCGATTCATCTTGACAACTTCATATGTGTGCTTGCCTTCTTTACCTAGAACTCTATGCCTAATCTGAATATTTGTCACCTGACTATGCTACTTAGCATGGGCCATAGGACATAAACGTCTTTGTAATGAGCAACGGTTCTTAGCTGTCTTTTAGCTGATGCTTGTTAGACGGACTTTGTGAATAATCAGAAACTTTATGTTACATACTGGTACATGGATTTTCTCTATATGCACTTAAACCTGGGAAATATAAATTAAATGAAAATAGGCTTTTTTAAATAATGTCAGGACATTATAGGCTTGTTATGCGTTATTGCACACGTTGAGTGTAGCCGGTTAGCTTTATTGTATTAGTGATACTTCTTACTACTCCAGCAGAGATCTGGATTTTGTGAAGCAATCACTTTACTGCGTGTCTTTTGATTAGACACCTATTTAGAGTCCTGAAGGTGACAGGTCGTAAGAAACCTATGGTAAATGGAACTATTTCCCAGAAGAACTCTAGTTGAATTGCCTTTTCGGTTAGACGGTTGGAATATTGGAAGGAAAACAGGGGAGCATTTTAACTTACTTACTTTACTTTACTTCGGCTATCTCCTACGGGAGGATGAGCCGGCTTCATGAACCATGAAGTTTCATGGGAATTGGGTACGAGTGATGTCCCCAGCATCGCTCGGCCTTTTGTTTGAGAGTGCAGCTCTAGCCTTTACACAACCAAGTGTGACCTACAAGGCAGTAGGAGTGGAGTAGGGAGTCCACTATCCATTGGCAGCCGGTGACCGGAGTCCGGTTCATTCGCCTTTTTGAATGGGGCCAGTCATCCAGGGCATCCAATAAGCCCTTTGTCCATACGTCTGCCGGTGAGCTTCATACACCAGTCGTTGGAGGTTTGGAATCAGGGTTTAGCCATCTCCCCTAGACTGTCATCCAATGGACAGCCAACCCGGTGAAGAGCACCGGGCATCCGCTTTTGCCCTCTCACTTTGGTGAAAAACACCGCCACGTGAAGGCAGTGGGTAGGACTTCCTCAGGAGAGGCTATGTAAGCCGCCTGGTCATATGGGAGCATTTCAAGAGGTGTACGGAGGGGTGGCCAACCCGAGCATTTTAACTGGCCTACAACCAGGCAAAATTTGTCCAGAATTGCATTTGTACCTAATTGGTTTGTAGACGTTGGTGTTCCAAATGTAACTGACAAAATACAAAGGCTTTCTGTACTCTGAAATGAGGTAAAGCATCAGGATTTAATGGAATGACTCCAGAGGTATTTTAGGATGTTGGTGTAAAACTGTTGTCTGAATTAACTTAAGTAATATGTAATGTTCAGGATTCAGATGTAGTTTCATCAGACTGGTGTAAATCATTGATTATCTCACCCTATAAGAAGGGAGACAAGTTTTACTGTTGTCATCATAGGGGTGAGCTTGACTAACATGGCATCATGTGAAGACAAAGGAGTGATCGGGGTAAACGAAGCCATCCGGCTTTACCCGAGGATGAGAGTGCATTGATTATGTCTCCACCCTTGAACGGATCCTGGGACATTGGAATGCTTACTGGGGTCCAACACACCATATATTTTGACCTGAAGGTGGCATTTCACTCGGTCGACTGGGAGGCACTGCAGCAATATCTAGTCGTGAAGTGAGTTCCAAGCAAGTATGTCTCACTAAACAAGGAACTGTATTCAAAGCCACGCAGCTGTGGTCAATATTATGAAAAATTTGATAACTTCTATCATTTTCGGCTTAGACGTGATATTTACTTATCGATAGAACGTTTGTAGTATGCAGCAGTTCACTCCATCCATCTATGTGACTGTGAGACAAGGCTGCTGAAAGTAGAAAATATAAGGATGACACTTGTCTTTTATGATCGGTTTTCGTTCTGTGTCTCCCGTGTTAAGTAGCACAATGAAGTGAGCAATATTGAGGCTAGACCTAGTTTCAAGTGAGGAGGTTATGAATTGCATCAATTGCGATTGTTCTTACAGGCACCTAGTAATATGTTCTATAGCCCTTATCTGCAGAGATGGATGGCTCCTCCAATATGCGTGTCACCGCACATACACACTAATTGGTAAACGAAGTGTCATATGGCATTATCGTTCAGATGTTTTTTTTTACAGAACAGAATTAATCCCACTTTCCCAAAGAAAATGAGTTTAGCTGTATAATAAATCATACCGATTGTGGCTCTGATTCCTTGTTTGGTGATCTGATTTTTTGGTAATCGCCCTTAAATGTCAAGGCTATATAAACATCTTTTACGAGAGTTGATTGGTGGACGGTTCTATAGCTTTTGATGGATTTCAGGAGATAATTAGAATATTTTAGTGGGTTTCGCATTTCTTCTTAAATGATATCCTCTGTACATAAGTATTGAACACATCTAAACAAGCATTTTACTAACGCCTTTTTATATTTGAGTAGACAGAAACTATAGCAATTTAGATACTGTCCCGTTGGAATAGACAGGTCGTCTTCTTGACCCATCCTGTTGGTAAGTTTATGAGTTCATCTAAAGGTGACAAGCAGTCATTGTTTCCTCCTACGTATGTCAACAATATGCTACTTTTTATTTTAAGAATTCCTGTGGCATCTGTCTATGTTACGATATCATCTGCGTAACTTCTGCAAATAAAATCGTCCGATTCAACTAATCCTGGAAATAGACGTCCAACGTTATCTATCGCAAAACATCATACAGATCTGTTATAAAGTTGACTTTACCATTGTCTTTAGAGCTATATATGAAAAAAGGTTTAGGTTACATACTTCATTTTGTTTACGCCTAAGCCATGAAAGGCCTTAGACCTGTTGTATTTGTTCCAAAATCACATATTACTTTGAGACTGCCTTTGTAATCCAATGCTAAACCGGAGGTGTATTTCACGCAATAATATCTTCACCGTTTGGTTTTTTCTCACATCAACTGTGATTTTGACCCTCAAACAGCTTTTTTTGTATTGACTTAGTTTTGACCTTTTATACTGTTAACTTTTATATAGATACGTATTATAAGTTCATATGTGATGAGAATGTCCTCAACGTTTCAGATTAAATGATGTATTATTGTTTTGTCAAAATTCATAGTTTGAATTAAACTACCTTGAATGTATGATCTGGACAGTATTTTTAAGGACAATTCGTAGTACACGTGCGATTATTGAGTCGAACGGTTTATATTTTTAAAACCTGGCAACGGAAATATTGATTATATCCGATTCAGATTTTGAAAGTATGGCTGAGGGTGGGTAGACTTCAGTCTTCCTCTCGATATGCTGTCAAGCGTCCATACCTTCATAGCTTCTGCCAGATGAGTCCTACTTACTGCCTTCACGCGGACGGGTTGTTCCTTATAGAAGTGGAGGAGTGGATACGAACATCTGGCGCTCACTACCGGACTGGTGAACATGTAGGTTTACTTAGTGAAGCTGGAAAACCCTGATTCCTACATATTCTGGGGGTGTAAATGGGCTCCAGAATCTATGAGGATCAAACAGTGTACGAACCTGTTTTGGTCACCGAAAACTGCGGAGACGTAGCGTCTGACTCTGCCCACTACCTTATGGGTCAGAATCCAAGTGGGAAGCTCGGGAAATGGCCCCCTAAGACAACCACTTGCTCCGGTCTAAGAATCTGAGCAGTATCTTGGCGATCATACAAACTGTAAGATTTTGTGTGGTACATTTCTTGGTGTCCATAATGTAGGAATTTTGTTTTAGTAAATGAGTAGATGCGGCATTTAAGAACATAATAATCTGGGTGACAAAGTCATAAGCTGAATTCTGGTGTGGTGATAAATGACAGTTTCAAAATGGCATCAGGTCGGGCTTTTGTTTTACTTTCAGAGGTGTTGACATTGTGTATTTTTATCTTAGCTTCTTTTTCTAATCCGATACTGTTTTATTTTATAGGATTCAACATATAACCTGGAGTCAGGCGAGGGTGTACAGTATTGTCAACTATCTGTAATCGGAGAATCATGGTCCAATTGGTTCAGTAGTTTAACGACGAACCTCCCTTCAGTTGAATCTTTAATAGCACTCCCATCCCATTGGAGTTATATTCAGTCGGTTATACAAGCACTGGATAAATCTGCCAGGTTAAGGTGCTGGATTGATGTACAAACCGGTGAACGTATGTAGTGTATATGCATCCAAGAGATGAGCGAAGGATGTACCCTCTGGACGCTATGATCTTGGATATGCAAAGTATGGTGTATTTAGTCAAAGACAATGAATCTCTGCATTGTAATGTGATGGAAACACCTGTTGATTTCTTCCTTGGCAAATCTTGCAAATCGATATTGTGAAAGTCAATGATTTTTGTACAGATGATCAGATTCAAGCTCAATGTTGGTACCATTTACTTTCACTCACTAAGTGTGATTCAACGTTGATTATACTAACTTTATTGCACAAAACTTTTAACATATTTGACAAGAGTCGGAGATGTATTTTTATAAAATTTAATTAACTAAATATGCCTAATGCCGAATTGATGAGTTATTGTTTTTTGTAGAGCCACTTTTGTAAGAAACACTTGAGGATTGTGTGACATCTGATTCTCTAGATCACTTTCATTCTCTTTACCCCTCTTTAGTTAGGTTGATGCAGTAGTAGTAAATGGAGATGGATTGGATATGCGTTGAGCAATATCACACACCGCGGTAGCTGTTCAGTGGAATCCAAATGGGAGACAAGTTTGGCCTGTGTGTTGGAGAGTGACATGGAGGTGTTCGTGTGTGGTGCAGGTGGAAGCGTATGGTCAGTTGCTACAAAGGACAAGGTGAAATGGAGATGTACTATTAACGCACTATGTTCCGTTCAGATGCCAGGGAAATAGTAATAATTATATAGTAATAATTTGGGATAAGCAGTTTACACTACAACTTGTTAGAAGATAAAAGTACTTAACATAATTTTCAGTGTGTTTAACAAGTCAATAAGAGATATTTCGAAACATTTTCACGGAATATGCACATTGGATTATAGGAATTATTAAAGAGACGAAGTCACAAACTAGGCTTTACATTCGTGTATTTATAGTTAATAGGTGAGAAAGTTGCAGAATTATTCCCGGTCAAATTAATAAAATTACGAAGTGTAATGACCATCAAGATCGGGTAGAAAGACATAATAATATCATAATTACTGAAAACTTGACTGTTCCTACAAATCAGTGGTTACGGACGTAGTAATAGCAAAATAGGTAGGAAGATCAGACGTATAAAAATATAGCAACCAAATCTAATAATGCTGATAGGAATTAGAAAGGGAAAAGTAACAGAAATAAACGGGAAGGTTGGATGAGAAAGGTGATTCGGTAATCTCTATTGGTGGGAATGACTTTTCACTGTGTTGACGACTGCACCGTTCACCGAAAGAGCATCCATAGTCAAGTGAAAGTAGGCTAGTGTCTAATACACGAAACGTTTAGCCAAGTCCTTATTTAGCTTTTTTTAAACACATTTGTCAACAGATTTTGACTAGGTTTCAACATAGAACTTTGCACAGATAGGCAGCAGTTTGAGTCGCCACACTTCATTTAGCACAAGAAGATAGAGAGTAAAGAGATTCAAACGAAACTATTATGAGCAGAAATGTATGAGTGAATGAATGATGACATGCAAAAACACAAAAGTCTAGTGGACAATGGGAGATTACTATGAGTGAATGCCGCTGGTTCTTGGCATCCCGAAGACCCGCCAACCAGGCAGTCTAGACTTTCCTACTTGGCTCAAACCAACCGTCGAAGACTTTTTGCACTGACTCCATATTTTGGTTAAATGACTTCTACAATCTATGCCTCTATCGCCACTGTGTAAGGCGATAGCTAGGCATACATAATACAACCCACACATTTTACTGCCGGCTCTTTTTAAAGATGGTGACGAGATCCTCGTCATGGCTTTGACTGGTTTGTTCAGGGAAGTTCGGGAATTGAGGGTGTGCCATTAATGTGGAATGAAGTCATCTCCTTCCCCATCTTTAAAAAGGTTTGACGTAACACACAACAACCATATCAGTTTGCTACCAAATGCGTCTAAAATATTGACAGCTGTTTTGCTTCACAGGCTGTGTGAAATACGTGAGAAGTCGATTCATCATTAGAAGCCTGGGTTTCGTTCAGGCTGTGGGTGCACTGATCATGTGTCCACCCTTCGTCAATTGTTGAGACACCGCCACACGTATTTCAGGCCAACAATTGTTGGGTTTCTTGATATCAGGGCTGCCTTCGTTTCGTTGGGCAGAACTGTCTGTTAGAGACCGGGTGTATCTGAGGAGTTTGTTGATATCCTGAAGTCTGTATACAGAAATACCTCAGGTAGAGTGATGGTATACGACCAGCTTTCATCACAGTTGCCAACCGACAGTGGGGTTAGACCGGGTTGGCCAGTCTATCCGCTTCTCTTTATCTATGCTATCGATGACATTCTGGACTCAGTTACGGAGGGCGTGCGTAGTGGTATGTGTTTTGCACCGTCTGAATGCACGAGGACGTACCTGTACTCACTCTTGCAGGTGAATCGCGTGAAGTTGTCGATAAGTTCGTGTATCTGAGTATTTGTGTGAGTGCTGGTGGAGGGATATTGGATGAGATTTCTGGCCGTATCATGAAAGCTAGGGCGGAATACGTCGTGGAATGAAGGATATTTGTGGTACGTTAGCATCGGTTGGCGAGTGACGACTCCCTACTATAGGCATTCCTATGGGAAAGCGAAACCTCTTTTTGCATTATTAATCACTCATAAGTGGAAGTGAAACTGTTTTGTTTTCCTCCCTCCAGCTAACTGAATTTCTGGGCGTATTTTTCGTGGTAAGTGAGAATTACTCAAAGTCAAGGGTTAAACTGAACCGATGACGTTTCTACAAAGTAGGAAATGTGAAATTATTATGTACCAGCTTATCTTTGTATATTCCTCTTCTATAAGCTGCATTACTTACTCAACACAACTTCTTAAAATTATTTCTAAAACCATGTGGAAGTGACTAACAGCGATGAGATTGTGTAAGGATTATTACTGCCAGTCGTTGAAAGAGTCAGAGCTTTATATGAGAAGACAGTTCCTCTCAGAAATATAGTAATAATAATAATAATAAGCACAGTAAACATTATCAGTGGGAGGAATCTGAAGGAAGTCTTCTTCTTCAATAACCCGTAAAGGATCATTTCTACTGTGCATTCTTAGTCATATTAAAATTCGACTGACTAGATATTCAGAGGAGAATAAATCATTGTGATTGGTTGGCGATTTGCCATCCAAGCTTAAACAAGTGGTTCAATGAGGTTATTTATGTGCACAACGTTGACTGAATCCACGTTCAAGCAATAGACACTTCTGCTTCTTCGACTATTCACTTGAAATTTTGATTTTGATTTTGGCCGCTACCTATCGATTGCATCATACCACAAGGGTAAAGTGCTTTACCACGAGTTGTTAAAGTTAGAATTCACAAGTCATTGGATTCCAGTCCAAGAGAATGAAAAATCAACGAGCATAAGTCTCGTAACCTGAAGGTTTCGAGTTCAATCCCTTGGGGGATTCATAAGTGCACACCTCAAAAGCATCCCAAAATAGGACGAAACAATGGTCTTGTCCTCCTTGCTGTTCAATGATCTCTCCTCTAAATGGTGTTAGTATTCGTGTTGAAATCTAAAGATTGAAATAAAATAAATTAGTAGAGAATAAATGAGAGAGGAACAGAAATACAATCGCATCCAATTCCACACGAGGTCAACTGTAATCTGAACACTTCATTCAGTAAGTTATCTTAATCATTTTGCTGGATAGTTTATATCTGAAACTGGCGATTTGATATCAGTTATCTAGTGGTTTCCCATACGCTTGAGAATACAAACAACCAGAGCGAACTATTGTTTGTAGTAAATTCTTCTTCAAACTCTTCTACATGCTTGCCTGTTTAGCCATTAATTTTAGCATACAATCATAGTCAGTAAAGGTGAATTAGAATTACATCAGAAAGAATTTCAGACAACCGGTTGATTTTATTAGTTTGAACAAAGAGAAATATATCAGCGAGTGTATTTTCAAGAGACACTACTTCATACGGCTTTGATTTGTTTCAGGTTTAGTCAGGGATTGTTATTATTTAAAGGACCACTGGAAACCAGTAGGGAGTACTGGAAAGTGGTTCCATCATAATTCAGGATTCTCCATCAGAACGCATCCACGGGGAATTGGACACAGGACTTCCAATAACTAGTTGTAACTCATGAGCTGTCGAATCGCGTCTTAGTGGTGTATGAGCTCGCTCTGAAGCCGGAATGTCCCGGTTTCGAATTTCGGTGGGTGTGTCTTTCTTACAAACTGAATAACTCATCGACACACAACATTCTTGGAATCTTGTTGATTACACCTTCTATCAATAACTAGACGTCACCGCGATATAACTATGTTTAGTCAAACCTTTTATAATTCATATTCAAATATTGTCTAGATTGTGTATGTAGCTGATTAGAATCTGTGAAGCGAAACAAGAGCTCGTAGTTTATTAGAACATCTTAAGTTCATTGTAAACGCTACAACAAGTGTATCAAAGAAGACTAGGATTGGTACATGATGAGTGTTAGAAGGGAAGATAAAAATAAAAACCAACACTCAGTATTGCATAATGTAAAATATTTTTTCAACAATACACAAGACCTCTTCATTTATTAGAATATTGGATTTCGTAGTGAGACGACATCGGTTGGAGAACCATTAGAAAATCAGCCACAGGGAATACTAGACAGCTATTTTGCCAGCCCACTTTAGGACTCATCAGGAAGTACGCACCCACTGAGACTCGAAACCAGGACCTTCCAGTTTCAAGGCGAGCTCCTAGACCATTAAGCCACTGGGACCTAATCGAATGACTCACGAATTCCGATTTCTGCCGATCCACAATTTGCCGACGAATAGAATATTCCTGCTTTATACCTTTTTAGAGAAGTCAATTCGTCAGCTATCTGAATACCGTGAGGTTTTGACGAGAGCAGGTTACTGTTATATTATTGTTATAATGCATCCCACTGAAGAGTTCTAAACTAGCTAGCTGTCAAGTACTCCCAGCTATGTTTCAGTAATTCACTAACTGATACCAAAACTTGGGATCAGTTGATGAAATCTTTGACAGTTAGTTCAAGCCACGTAGGAATGTGTAGGCTTACTGATTAGAGTCTTCGCAATGGAAGTGGTGATATGACTGAAGATCTACCCCAATGGTATTCACTCCAAGTGATTCCCAATATCTATTGAACCCTAATGTCTCTCAATGCTGCTGTTGTTTCTACTGAAATTTTTTGCTTATTATGGCCCTTTAGAATCACATTTCTTCCTGTCTCCTTCTTCTGCCTTTGTGAGCTACATGGAGTGTGGCTACTTGATCTGCTGCTGACCTTTTGTTCAATGTTCCATGTTGAAACTTTAGTCAGTCAGGATTTCTTCCAAGTGCAAAATAAAGATCCAGGGTAGAATCATCAGTGGACTT